GAGTATTAGAGACCTGCTCATCACTCTATCCCAAACTCTTAATAAATTCTAGTTTCTTCTTGAAATTTGATTCAGTCAATTGAATCACCACTCGAAGACATTGTACAAACTTAATAGCATCTAGTGCAAGACTAGTGTCTTTGGCTGCTTTAACAGCATAAGCCATTTTGTCACATCTTTGCAATATAGCTCTCAATTGTAAGGTCAGCAAATGTGATATATGATCAACAGGAACCCTTTCACTTAACAAGAACTGAATGTTTTGTTGTAAAGTATTGATCTAAACACAAAGCAACCACCATGATCGCTTAACAATAGTCACTATTTTTCATTGGTATCAAGAAATTCCTTTAAAAATTTGAATGTTGGCTTTAATTTAGAATCCAGACTATAAGTAACAATATGAGGATTCAATATGATGAGCTTAGTCAGAATCGTACTCGTGAATCCATTTTCAATGAGCCACTCAAGTTTGGGCTTCAAGTTGGTCTCTGCTCTGCATTGGAGAACAATGGGGTTCTTTTTAATCAAATTTTTTTATGTGGGTTTCATTAAAGCTGTAAGCTTTCAACAAGTTGAGAAGGGATGCAGATTTTTTATCTCCATTTTCATCGATTTGGGGATTTTTGGAGGTTGATGACGCCGATTCTGAAGAATACCCAGATGATTGAATAGTGAACAGTGGAGTTAATATTGTCGATGTCATGTAGTAACACTTTTGTATTGAAGAAAGCAAACTCCTTCTGAGGATTTTGGCCATGTTGATGTTGGGCGAAAACTCACAGTTGAGGTCTTGGTTTTGCTAAGGTTTTCAATGGGTGTGGATTTTTTTTAATGGACTTAACACTTTTGTAAAAGTTGGACTTATTTGAGAACCTTGATGAATTTGGGACCTTAATTGTGAATTGAGTGAAACTTTGAGACCTTATTAATGTATTATTATGAAATTTTTAGATTCATTTAGCTAATTATCTACATCTTATTATTTATAATCGAACATCTTGCAGGGCACAGGTGGGAGACGCCATTGATGAGAATGGACCTCACCGGCATCGAAGTCGTAACCCTTCCTCTTCCCATTCTTATTCATTCACAGGAACAGGAGGTTTTCGTCCTCACCAATTCTCTTCTCATCCGACCAAATCCTCGAACTTTGTTGTGAGCACTTCAGCCAACAATTCAAGGGATCTCAAGCAAATCCCTAACTGGAAACACAAAAGAAATAGTAGCCAAAAAGAGAAGGGAGAAGAAGGAGGGACTGATGATCCCTTTGCTCCTGTAATTGGAGCTTGCCCTTTCATGTGTCCAGGTGAATTTGCGTACTTGGCTTGTCTTAACTGTAAATTCATCTCTTTTAATTGTGTCTTTTCCTTGAAGTCCCTACTTTGAATCCTTTCTATAATTCTATTAAGATCAGCAGATATGGTTTATGGGTCCTAGTGTTAAATCATATGCCTCTTTTGGATGTTCTTAGATGGAGTTCTGCATTTTTAATGTATTTAAGCCATGAGAATAGCCAAGAAGAATTGATTTGCTTTATTTGCAGTTGTTACTTCCAGTACAACATGGAAAACGATAAAAATGATAAAAGATTAACAGTTAATTTCGTTTTAAATCTCTCCTCTCCCATTCTATAATTCAATCATGAAATTTTTTTAGTTAAATGTTAATTTTGATCCCTTAACTTTATAAATTGCACATTTTTGGTCTCTCAACAATTTTTTGCACTTTTTTGATCCCTCAACTCTTAGAAATGCACAATATTAGTCCTCCCGTCAATTTGGGCCGTTAACTTCACCCATGTGGCATTTTTTATATTTTTTTTGATGATATGGATAGTCCAACTGGAAAAAATGATGACATGGATCATCCAACTAAAAAAATGATGACATGGAGATAAATTTTTATATTTTTAAGGTTAAATGTTAAATTTGGTCCCTCAACTTTAGTGAGTTGCACATTTTTGGTCCCTCAACAATTTTTTGCACTTTTTTGATCCCTTAACTATACAAAATGCACTTCGTTAATCCTTCTGTCAATTTGGGCTATTAACTCGGCCACATGGCATTTTTTATATTTTTTTTGATGACATGGCGACCACAACTTAAAAAGATGCTTATTTGGACTTTTTTTTTTTTGATGACATGTCATCTTCTTCACAACCCCTCCAATGGATTCCAGTTACCTGCAAACCGGTTTCTCATCTTCACCCTCTGCAAAATCGATCTTAACCCATTTCTTCTTATTCTCTGAATGCTCTCTCATCTTCACTCCATCTGCAAAATCAATCTTAACCCATTTCTTCTTCTTCCGTGAATACTCTCTCATCTCCACTCCATCTACAAAACTGATCTTAATCCACCCATTTCTTCTTCTTCCCTTTTCTCGGGGAAACTTGAGCTACTGGGTTTCATTGAAACCTCAAACCTGACA